GAGTCTAACGCCCAAACGTCGCTTCTTACGCCCTGGGGGTCCAATTCTTATCGTGGTTTTATCTTTCTTTTTCTTTTTACCTTTTTTGGGTGGGGTGGGGTAGCACCGTTTCATCACAATACCTTGGTTTCAAAACACAAACACGAGATGTATTTGAGATTTAGAATATTTTTATTAATTTTTACATAACAAGTATCACAGGGAATAACGCTGTCCATGCCAAACCGAGTGTTGGTAGGTAGCATCTACCATTTTCCCGCTGGACAGTAACACTTGGGATTTTACCCGAGCCCATGGAGCAGCATGGTTAGGCACGTAATTAGCCCTTTTACGTAATCATTTGAACTAAATCTAACAATTAAATCTATCATGTTTCCGGAGACAATCGTAGTATTTATATACGACACTAGATAACAGGTTCAAGTTGAATTTGGTGTAGCGACGAGACGAAAAACAGGTGCTTTGAAGCGTAAGAACAACATACGTACTTCTAACCTGCGCAACTTTGTGTCAATTTGAGCTTTATTTGGGTATTTTAGGATTTGTATCTGTGTATAACCTTTCTGTGATGTATATTTTCCGATATATGTAACAAAACAAAAACTGTACGAGTTGATGGTAGTTGGTTTAACACTGTCTAGGTTGTTTTATGTTTTTATATAAGCTGACTGTCGTGGTAGTTTGCCAAAATCTCATTCATACTTGTCCCTGCATTTCAGATTGTCGACCGGGCAAACGTTACACCATGTAAAGGATGCTTATTATTCTAGAAATGATAGAATACTGTCATCTGTAATATCAGGGAATTCTTTTCACATGCTGTGATAGACTTGTACGTCTTCAGACATGATTCAAAGATTAAATCATGTTTCTTTGTTACGTGGGTGTTTAAAGCTAAGGGACTGGTGTTAAGTGACACATGTGACTAATCTATTGCCTCGATGTCCGTGGTTCTGAAAGAAAATGAATTATGTCATATTGGTTCTCAAGACGCATGAAAAAAACGTGGTATCAGTGACACATCAAATAATGCCATCTGCTTGGATAAAGTTCCTATGTTAACTGAGGAAGAAATCTGAAAAAAACACGCATCACAGAAAGTATTTGAGACAAGTGGAATTAATACCATGCGGATTCTCAAAATCTTAAAGGATTTGCTTGAATTTTTTCAATCACAAAAAAAAAACAAGTTAAATTATGTAAAAAAAATATTGATTGTTCAACTTTCCCACATAAACATCCAACATGGCTAGCAAAAGGTTTTGGTTTGGTTTGTTGTTTTACGCCGCACTCAGCAATATTCCAGCTATATGACGGAGGTCTGTAAATAATCGGGTCTGGACCAGACAATTCAGTGATTTACATCATGGAAAACTTCATTCCTTCATTCAAGAGGCATGCGTTATACGAAGCGTGGTGACCATTGTTATCTTCATGTGACCAGAATAAATGAAAAATGAAAGTAAATGTCATCCAAAGTTTATTGTGAGAACAATATGTGAAATGCTGGACCTCCTAATGGATAACATCCAATTTAAGGATAAGTAAGGCATATAGGCAAAAATTGGGCACCAATTGTGCTCCCCTTCTGGCCGACCTGTTTCCTTTTGAATATAAATCGGAATTTCTGCTCGGGTTGGCAAAATCAAAACAAGGGAATCTGGCGAAGATGTTTAAATTAAGCTTCAAGTTGGTTTGCTTGTCTGTTTGCTGTTTAGCGCCGCACTCAGCAATATTCTAGCAATATGACAGCGGTTTGTAAATAATCGAGTCAGGACCAAACAACAATCCAGTAATTGACATTATGAGTATCGATCTACGCAAATAGAATACGCTGACATGCATCAACCTCGTCAGCGAGCCCGACCACTCGATCCCGTTAGTCGCCTCTCACGACAAGCATGGGTTGCTGAAGACCAATCATAACCCGGATCTTAACGGGTTAAGCTTCAAGTGTTTCGTTAAGGGATATCGTGCAGTAATGGTGAAATAGCCACTGATTTACCCAGCTGAAACAGAAAAAGAGACCTGTAAACCTGACTCATCTGTTTCATATTTAGATGATCTATGCATAAAGATTCAGAGGGACAAAACTATCCACAAGACAGTATGACAAGGGTGTGACTTGAGTGAGTGAGTGAGTGAGTATGGTTTTACGCCGCTTTTAGCAATATTCCAGCAATATCACGGCGGGGGACACCAAAAATGGGCTTCACACATTGTACCCATGTCGGGAATCGAACCCGGGTCTTCGGCGTGACGAGCGAACGCTTTAACCACTAGGCTACCCGACCGCCCCGGGTGTGACTTGAACTTTCCCTCCATGTCGAGCAATATGCGAGCAGTTCCAGCATTTGGTGTCTACATGTCACAACTAATGAGGTACAATCGAGCATGCTCTTTTTACGAAGAGGGACATATAACGCTGTCAAAGGTTTGTTCAAGGTTACAACATTCAAGGCCTCAGCAAAGCTTTTACAAAGATTTATGGTAGAAGTCATTTCTAAATTTGACGCATCAGTGACAAAATGTCCTATGCATTTTTTCAGGTGAACACTTGATTTGACTTTGTATGTGTTTGCGACGGGTCATAAACGAAGGCTGATAATACAGTCGGCTGCCGTTATATAGCTGAAATATTACTGATTGCGGCGTTAAACAACAAACAAATATAATATAGGCGGAATCGTAAAACGGATATTGCTTTTAGAAGAGATGTTTTATGACTGTAGAAAGTTTTTTGTCGCATTTTTTCAACAAGAGAGCGAATATGCGTTATTGTTTAAAGCCACATGAGGACGTTTAAAGCTATTTGCGGCCGAGACAAGGTAGTTAAAATACAATGAGAGAATACATGGCCTGACAAAAAGTCCGAAAATGTTTTTATCAGAACAGTTTTCATCAATATTACCACTGTTTTAAATGTGTTCAAACCATTGTAACTTTCTTATGCTAACTACGCAGATAGTATTATTTCAACAACTTTGACAGTAAATTTGTTCACACAGCCAACTACCATCAACTCGTACAGTTTTTTGTTTTGTTAAATATCTCAGAATTTATTCATCACACAAAGGTTATACATTGAAAAAACGCTAAAAAGCACCTAGTTTTCGACTCGTCACTGTCGCGCCAGGTGACACCAAAAGTAAAGTAAGGTATATTGAACTTAGTATTGAGTGTCGTATTTAAATACTATGACGATTGTGGTCCGTATGCCCTCTGGTGCATGATGTAAGTTAGATTTAGTTTAAATGATTATTAATAAGTAAAAGGGCCCAAACCTTGCCTAAACCATGTTCCATGTACTCGGGTGAAATCACAATTTTTACTGTCCAGCAGTAAATGGAAGTTGCTACCTACCAATTTGCGGTTTGGAATTGACAGAGCTTACCCCATGTGAGTATGCAGAAGCATGTGTAACTATCGTTGGTCAATGCTTCAAAAGAATATTTATACAATAACAACATCAACAACAACAACAGCTTTAAGAGAAAACAATCTCACTGAAGTTTTGATACGTGAGTGAAGTGAATGTTGATTTTCGCAAAGTCAGCAATATTCCACCTACAGCACGACGGGCTGACAATAATGACGTGTTGGCCAAGCAGTTGGTTGATAGCATTCGCAGTGGCTTGTAATGTTGATATACGATAACGATCATCCAGGTCACACATTATATCCACTTGATCTTTATAATATATAAACCAGGAATGCCAACCGAGGCCTCACGTCATATCCTAGCACTGAGCAATTATCAATGGTCCCCTCTTGTAAGAACCTGCATATACGTCTTTTAACGTACCCTACTTCATACCAAGCCCACACGTTCAAATATGAGAGAGACCATTTAATAGTCCGTTTGGGGATGGGTGGGGGTGTAGAAATATTTTTCGGGTTTCGGTCACAAACGGACATACCCTTTTCTTTTTCTCTGAAATGTGGATCAAAATCCAAACACACTTTTGTTTTGAAACTCAGGCCTACTTATTTTTCCAAATGATCCCAGGTCCTGGAATATAAATGCTGTGTTCCTTATTATAGCTGTCTTTGGATATAACGAATTCGGATGTAGCGAATAGTCTTTTACATTAAACCATATTCATATTTTCATTAATACGAGCAGTGAGTGATTATTACAACTTCAGAAGATAATAGAGTCTGGTACAATTGTTGATATCATTTGCAACGCTGATGGGGTAGTTGTCGGCACCCCTTTTCCCCAAAAGCACCCACAGTCTCAAAACGACCCCCTCGAACTGTACCTACTCGTAATGTCGATATTATAAAAATCTCACGAGAATTTATTGCCGGGTACAGTAAAGTGCGCAGGGGTAGTTTTGAAACTCTAGACCCCATCAGCATCAGCAACGGTCCATGTAGTCGGCACAATAACATAGCCAGGTGATGCTTAGGAACAACACAGGATAAACTTGAGTAAAATTAATTGCTTAGATGAAAACTGGAGTAAAAAATGAATTTGCAACTATATGACCCCTTCCATGTTTGAAATGTTGTAATTTTGTGCAGAAAAAAGCAAATTGATTGATTTGCAAAGATGTCTACAATTCCCATCAACATTTGTGTGTTATGCGAAATGTTTAGGTATATTTTAACTTAAGATATTTTCAATTGAAAATTAAACATAATCAAATCAACTGAGAGGTGTAGCCTATTTTGCTCGTCAGTGCTACTTTGATCATGTCGGTTGAACTGAGAAAAGATTTTTACTGATACAAGCTTCTTGTATAAGGACATCAGTTAAAAAATTATGTGCTTTGTTTAGTAGCTGTATGATGAAACAATATAAAACAAGACGTAGCACCATGACAATGAAATAAAGAACTGTACTATATCAGTGATGTGACTAGATTAACATATGTCGACCAAATAACCATTAAGAAATTATAAAGAAGTATATTAGTATTAGTAGCATGTTTAACCAATACTTAGCTAGGTAGTCACAAGACATTTACTTACACACATGAGATGATATGTATTTACAGTTGATGTAACTATAGCTTTTATTTTTCTTGTTTTAAGCCGATAATGATGAAATCATTTGAATAAGATTGCAAGGTATTGTCTCTGTCAACCAAAAGATGCGGTGTATAGATGAACAGCTCTCTATGATTAGGTAACATCTTCATACACGATCATGAGTTATATCATGATGCGTGACAGATAAGGCAACATAACAGGGTGCGACTTGACAATAGCACGTGGAAACATGTTATCACGTGAAGAATCAAAGTCCAAATCGAAGCCTATTGCACTCCGACTTTGATTTGGTTTCCGAGTCTTTATACAGAAATAACTCTGCTTAGCCGGAAGGATGACGTCAAATAGTGCTCCTCCAGCAGTGATAATGCGGAGGACAGAGGTTCGCCTTGCAGGACTCCCAGTTGTTACCGCTGTTCTGTCTGACGAGGCATGGCTGAAAAATGGATGTCGCATTTGGGTTTCTATTATTTAGCGTAGGAGGACACGTGAAAGTGGGATAATTTATGCGAAACAGTTACATATACCGTATTCGACGTAATAAGCCCCCCGCTCTAATAAGCGCCCACTGCGATATTTATTAATATATTGGCTTGTGAACAATCCCAATTAGCACCCCTTCCGATTGATCAATGTACACAAGACTTATTTATTCGGGTATAATACGCACTCGTGTGTTATATGCACCCTTAATTATGGGCAATAAATTCTGGAAACATATATCTGTCGCATATAAACATTTCAGGCTGTCAGCATAAACCACGAAATTTATCTTTCAACTCTGTTTTTTTTCACCAAAATACCATTCTAATAAGAGCCCCTATTTCTAATTTGAGGGCGCCCTGGGTGCTTATTACGTCGAATACGGTATGTCTGGTTGCTCTTTTGAGGTTTTACTTAATCAGCTTGAAAACGGTTACATAAAGTATTGTAAACATCATCAGGTATAAACGAAGATGCCGTTGTAAAGTGCCTTCAGCATGTAGTTAACAGTGAGTGAGTAAGTATGCTTTTTCGTCGCTATACGCTATAATACAGCAATATCAAGGGGCGGCTTCACACATTGTATCCATGTGAGGAATGACACTCACCGCCCTTAATAGTAGAGATTGTTTGTTTGTTTATTTGTTGTTTAACGCCGCACTCAGCATTATTCCAGCTATATGACAGCGGTCTGTAATTTATCGAGTCTAGACCAGACAATTCAGTGATTGACATCATGAGCATCGTTCCACGCAATTGAGATCGATGACATGCATCAACCAAGTCAGCGAGCCTGACCACCTGATCCCGTTAGTCGCCTCTTACAACAAGCATAATCGCCTTAATCGCATGAGTTGCTGAAGACTCTGATGGTTCGTACAAAACAACGTGTTTTCGTTGTGATTAATAATGTATGCACTTACCTGAAATTTTTTGAAATATCTATTTTCGGTGGTGTACCCAACACCCATTTCTGAATACAATGTTATGTTTTCCCCAAATACAAATGTAATGATAAAAAGATTAGTTGGTTGTCTTTTGTGACCAATATGAGACATACATTATAAATATATATTTGTCAAAACATATAATATTTTGGCTATAGAGATCGATTGATGAAAGGTATCAGTTTAAGGTATTATCAGTTGCAAAGTATGCCATTTTAAATGTTTACATTATCACAAAATACAAAACCAAATGTTTTCTGCGGCTTCCAGTCAAATGAATTAGTAATGGAAACATTCAAAAGACAGACCTTTGCAAAACAAATAACTGTTTTCAAACTGGGTCAACGACTTCAATATGTTCTAATGCTGCTCCCGACATAGTGGTTGAATTGACATAAAGATGAAGTTAAGCTTTCTTGTACTTTTGTTAACCTGGTTTTTTTTACCTTCTCTTTGCGAAACAGCAGCGGTTGGTCACGTGATTGTGACGTCAGCAATCAATATTGCCATCATCGTGTCTGTCCTGGTAACCGGAGTCATTAGAGGAACTGTGTATGCTTGTTTTGCGAGTGTGTAAGTCGTCTTTACTAAAATCTGAAATAAAGCAGCGACGGAGACATGCATTAACATATTACACAACCGTTTTGGATGGGAACTGAATTGTCCCTAAACGGCAAGGTTCACTTGACTCGAACTCCACTACATCAAAATCGAATAACACGAGGCTCTGTTGGTCAAATTGCACGGTGAGGTGTATGTCATGAGATCACAGCATCATGGAACAATGTTCATACCATCAGTCACTGGATTGTCTTGCCCAGACAGGTTGCCGCCGTCTAGGTCGAATATTGGTCCATGGTCACTGGGTTTTAACTCTATGTTAATTTTGGATTTTCATTTAACTACAGAGCTACATTGTGTAGTTAGCAACCTTTGTACGATACGACCGCCTCCGTGGTCAAGTGGATAAAGTATCTGCCTGGAAAGAGAAAGGTCTGTGGTTCGATCCCTGGCCGAGTAATACCAAAAGACGTTAACTCATGGTATTTGTTGTTAACCCGCCTGGCGTTCGGCATTGATGGGATAAAATTGTGTTTCTCAGTGTCAGTATACTGTGTCTGAGTGGTGTATCCATATTAAACTGCGGCAAAGTATCTCAATGGGCTAGCACTATACAATCGACACTAGTCTCGCTTAGTACACACACACACGCGCGCGGGGCAATATAAGTACAATAATCTTGAACGCGACGTTAAACCCAATTTCTTCATCTCACTACACCTTTCTTGTGCACGCCAATACTAGAGAGCAATGATAGCAATGATCGTTATTGTCAACTCCGGTTTTATAAAAACTGCATAAGCAGTTCATAATATCCTGAACTCGTTATTACCCGAACGAATCGTGAACCTGATTGTTCGAGGTCACTACCCTGAAGAGATTCCGGGCTAGACCTGGTCCCTGTAGAGATTCCGGGTGAGACCTGGTCCCATAGATCTAGAGGTTCCAGGTTAGACCTTGTCCCCAGTAACGCGTGCGACAAAATGGATAGGGTAGTTAACCTCGGCGACTAGGAGAATTGCGTGTCATCGTACCCGGATGGCGTGGCGTTTTGCTCATTATAACAATCACTGGACCGTTTGGCCCAGACTCCTTGATTATTTACAGTCGTCCGTCGTGTAGCTCGAATATTGCTGTGTGCGGCTTTAATAACAAGATCACCACATAACCAAAGACTACTGATAACACTTCAAGTTTTTCCTTATTAATCCCACTATACACAAGTTTAAAGCTTTAATGTCTTCTGATAAAACGTGTACGTTCGTAACTTGTCAATGTTTATCCAACAGTTTCTCACAAGCACTTGTCACTGATGACTATATACAATATGCTTACGGCTATCCATTATTATGAATAAACAATGACGGAATGACCCCCGTAGCAATACATTCAGCCATTCCTACTACAGTCATTAATATTTGTAGTAACAAATGCAGTATAATAATTTGAAACATTAAGATCATATCCTTTTACCTTTTACCAATAGCTTACTATTCGGTTAATTTAAACTTCAATTGAATGTACACTTATACAAAGGTTCGTGCAAAAGTGAGAAGGAGCATCAGGGAACAGACGCATTCACCCACTCGCTCGTATGCAGACACTCATACACACGCATGCAAGCACGCACTTACATTTATCAATATACATGTATCATTAACAAAGGGGGACTGTGTCATGTGACATTGATGCAAAGCAGTATATTTTGTCCGATAGAGGGATGCCTAATATTATATCAAAGCTTTGTCGTTGATATGAGGGGCGGTCGGGTAGCCTAGTGGTTAAAGCGTTCGCTCGTCACACCGAAGACCCGGGTTCGATTCCCGACATGGGTACAATGTGTGAAGCCCATTTCTGGTGTCCCCCGCCGTGATATTGCTGGAGTATTGCTAGAAGCGGAATAAAACCATACTCACTCACTCACTCGTTGACATAAGGAAGATAATTTATGGATGTCAACTTCTTTATCATGAGGAACACAACGTTTGGGAGTATATTCTTAATCCTTCATCAGGTGAATGAGTGAGTATGGTTTTACGCCGCATTTTGCAATATTCCAGCAATATCACGGCGGGGGACACCAGAAATGGGCTTCAAACAATGTACCCTTGTCGGGAATCGAACCCGGGTCTTCAGCGTGAGGAGCAAATGCTTTAACCGCTAGGCTACCCGACCGCACCTCAGGTGAATGATCATTCATCATGGTCATCATCATTATCATTCACCTGTTGAAGGAGTAAGCATATACTCCGAAACGTTGTGTTCTTCATAATAAAGAAGTTCACATCCATAAATTCTCTTCCTAATGTGTATCACTTCTAAATCTCTTTCAAAGACCTTGTAGTTGACGTTTAACACTGGAAGGGTAAGCATTGCACGTCACGGTAGCATGTGAAGAAGACAACACTGAATACATAAGACCTGTTAGGTGCCTAATTAGTCTGCGTGGATTGCTGGGATCTATATATACAACATACACGTATAGACATGCGTCAGAGGATATACAGTTGTGTTGACAGATACGTCACTTACCTGTTATATTTGTTATAGTTGCACGGAGCCTTTAAAACCATGGCAACCCAATTAGTTTATATGCACATGTCATTGGATCAATGTCAAATTCAGTTTCAACAAATATCGAAATTATTATTATTTTCTGACGTAAATGCACAGAAGATACATTGCATGAACATTTGATAAAAAAAATTTTAATCTTACATGTTTCATCTACGGATAAAGAATGTGTTTCAGCCATTTGTGATGAACAAACTTTATTCATTAAAGTAACTGACCATTATGTTAAAGTTATTAGGATTGAATTGAGATATTTTACGGTCTTTATTTCTGTTTGTTGTTTCTTGCTATGTTATATACAATCACACAAACAAAATATCATACATCGATCCGGGAATTGTATGATTATTTTGTAGTTTATTATGGAAATATTTTAACTTTTGAAAATATTATACAGTGCAATATAATTATCAAATGAAAGTTCAGTCTATTTAAAAGTACCACCAATGAATTTTTTGTGAAGGTGCAGAACACATTGAAATAACAGAAGAATCATTTGTTGTAGTTACATCATGAACATCGGATTCTGCCAGTGTTCTTCATAATGTAATTAATTATATTTTAAGATTATATACATATGTAAAATGCGAGGGTATAACCTGTCTTCAGGTGTTTAATGACGTCATCATTGTTATTGTGCCTCATCATTGTTATTGTGCGTCATCATTCGCTATTGTGTACCCGATTTAACCTATATTATGTTGTTTCTTTGTTGGTGTTGATGATGATGCTCACCTGGTAATGAGGTATAGGCATCACTCCCCGCCTCCACGTCTTGTATGGTTACTTCAAGGTTACGAATCTGTGCGTCACCATTGGTCAGTATATGTATGTGTTTCTTAGCCGATAGACGGTCGATCTTGTCCTCGTTGGTCATTATACTGTCATCTCGACCAATCAGCCAATATGTGGTCATCTCTCCTTTGCCCTGCGTGGACATCACATCAAAATGTGTTTCGATAATTAATGATACATTATCAATCACAATGAAAACACGTTGTCTTTTACGAACCATAAGCCTGTATGTTGTTATTTGACCTTTGACCTGCACTGATATTACGGTGGAAACAAATATTTAAAAATTCGTTTAATCACAATTTTAATGTGTTCAAGAGAAATATCCTTCGTTCAACGTGATATTTCGAATTTATTATCAATGGTCAAAGCAATATACAGATACAGGTAGATATTTATCAAAGACTTTGAACCGTTGAATTGAAAGTGGTTAGTGGCATTCTAGAATGGCATATCCGTACCAACTGCATCATGACCAAATTTGACATATCACCAAAATCAACTATATATTTTGCTACTTTAAACGGTTGTGTCAATATATTTTAAAACAAAAGATCATCTGATAATACATACATGTACACAAAGGACACATTAGTTAATGGGGGGGGGGGGGGGGGGGGGGTTACGGGTGGCCCAGTCGTCTTAGGCGCCGCGATTCGCTGCGTCCCTTGGGCACGCCAGAAACCTATGATTGTGGCTTCGAATCCCGGTTCGCCCCGATTTTGTTTCTAGGTTTGTTAGCACCATACCCGTGCTCGTGGGTTTCACCAAAGTGGTTAACGTCTGAGACCTGCATCACTTCGGGCTTTCCTCCCACATTAAGCTGACACGCCGTGATATAACTGGAATACTGTTAAAAGCGGCGTTAAACTCACTCACTCACTCATTAGTTAATGAATATTGCTCTGACGCCTAAATTGCACTTTCAGCAGTAGTTCGGTAGCTTCTCTCTGGCGATATAGACCACAGGAGCAACAGATTTACCAGATGTTTTTTTTTCTCGAGGGAACATAAGTCCTATTTGTAACTTATGATTTTGTCTACGACACTGACTTTGTCTTGTTTCCGTTCAGTCTTCTTGTACGATGTTACCATCATGATTTGTTTTATAGTTTTCGGTGTAAAATAGATCAATGTTTTATTAGAGATGAGCATGTTTCTTGATTTGATACTGATACAAAATCGATGGTTTAATACCACACGCAGCATGAGCCATGTGGTGCTCAGAAGAAAACAGTGTTCAGATCATCGCATGAAATTATTTAATCATTGAATATCTAGTTTCTTCAACTACTTCATGACTGTTTATCTTCATTGAAAACAGGGCGGTGGGGTAGCCTAGTGGTTAAAGCGTTCACTCGTCACGCCGAAGACCCGGGTTCGATTCCCGACATGGGTACAATGTGTGGAGCTCATCTCTGGTGTCTCCCGCCGTGATATTTCTGGAATATTGCTAAAAGCGCCGTGACAGAGCGAAAAAACTGATCAAACTAAATAAAAGCGAGAAAACCCTATCCATATTCATAACTTATCTCTAGCTAAAAAAAGAGTTCGTTATACGAAGACGAATATTTAGTTCATGAATCTCTATCAAACAGTGCTGATGTTAGGTGTAATTTAAAAGGTGAGTGTATCCTGCCAAATCTCTTGCACCCGTCATAAACACATGAAAAGACATGTCGATTGTTCACAAAAAAAGCCCTGACTTATGGTATAAGTCTAATTAGTGACTTGCATTGGACAGTCTGTCACTGCTGCGTCAACTTTTGGGATAAACTCAACTCCTTCACGCTGTCATTATTTCGACATACCTTGATTGGTATTGATCCTCTCTTGGTGCAAATGTACCCGCCAAACTTCGCCAACTCATCATATGTGAAGCTACTTATATGTATCTTGTAAGCTGGAAGAAGAAATTAAGTATCAATATAAAGTATAGAGTCTCCAAAGACCAACCATATATATATAACGTCAAAGCCAGTGAGTAACTCGTCTCCACTCTGCCCAAACAGATCCCATTGTGAAAGGCAAAGTAGCGGTGAACATTATTTGAATAGATCACTGAAACTTAGTGTTGACACAAAGGACTCCAAAGACAGAAAAGAAGGTGCTCCCGAAAGCATGGGCATGTCCTGACCTACCGGCAGCACACGCTACTCTCGCAATTTCCATAAAACGTAAGCATTTTTGTTGTTGCCTGACATCGCATTTTTAACCAACTCAACGCAACTTAAATAACTCAAGTTCGGAGCGATATTTATTCGTTAAACTTTGTTCAAAAGAGTGACAAATGAACCACAATGCATCAGTAAAGTCCGCCATCTACTTGATACTCCAACAGTTAAATTGTTGGTGCAATGTCTTGTGACATCCAAACTGGATTACTGCAATGCATTGTATGCAAATCTTCCCATGAAAGCCATATCAAAGCTACAACGCATTCAGAACTCTGCAGCTAGATGCATCTCTAAAGTTCCAAGATCCAATCATATCAGTCCTGTCCTCAAAGCACTACATTGGCTTCCAGTCTCCTTTCGTATAAACTATAAGATATGTATCATCACTCACGACTGCCTCAACAATTGCGACTATCCAGACTATCTCAAAGATCTAATATCCCTGTACTCTCCAGAGCGTGCTCTCCGATCCTCTGGTGGAACTCTACTGTATCAGCCTCTGTCTACTTCTGCTATGTCTGACCGTGCCTTCTCCTTTTGCAGTCCACAGTTATGGAACTCTTTGCCTTTGAATCTGAGAAACTCTGCTTCTAAGGAAACGTTTAACTCTCTCCTCAAAACCCACTTCTTCACTTCAGCTTTTCAATAGAACTCCTGATTGTTGGCATATGTACACAGACATTACATTTTAACTTTGTCACAGCGCCATTGAGCAACTGTCGATGGATATTAGGCGCTTTACAAATCAATTATTATTATTATTATTATTAATGCCCACAAGATCCAAAGATCCCGTTAAAACCAGGTTAACTGTTAAGGGTTCACGGGAGGTGACGTTACTTGTGCTAGAACTCACTCGGGCGTTCAAATACTGGTATCGACTTCTGATGTTACTCCTTGAACCATCATGACGATATCCGTATCCGCTGGGTTTCAAAGTGGTAAACGTGGGCTTTCTTCCAGCATTATCCTGACACGCCTCGACAAAACTGAAATACTGTCCAAAGCGGCCTTAAATTAAACCCACCTCACTCACTCACCTTCTCCGTTGGACTCCATCCGTGAGGCTGTGTTGACTGTGTCCCCAAACAGACAATAACGGGGCATTTTCAGACCCACCACGCCGGTGCAGACAGACCCTAGGAGGGAATAACAATAATTAACGATTACACCACAATCCAGGTTCATGGTTGGTTGCTATAAATATTATCCATTGTCATGTACAAATGTATAAATGCTTAACAGTTAGATCAAACCTACTGGTTCATTGTTTGTTTGTTTGTAAGTTTGTTTGTTTAACGCTGCACTCAGCAATATACCAGCTAAATGACGACAGTCTATAAATGATAGTGTCTGGACCAGACAATCCAGTGATTGACATCATGAACATCGATCTACGTAATTGGGATACGATGACATGCATCAGCATGATCCCATTAGTCGCCTCTTAAGACAAGCATGGGTTGCTGAAAAACAATTATAACCCGTGTGAATTTGTTGGGTTAGCTTAATATTTGACTGTGTTGAGGGTTGTAGGTGGTGGAGGGAGATTGTTGTCTAAAGAGTTTTGTTCGAAATAGGATATGTTTCGCCATAAGCGCTTAAGAACACATCATTTTGCAAATGACTGGAAAATCGCGAGTTTGGAGTTTGTTTTGCAATGATGTGGTGCGATAAGGCATAACCCGAGTCTTGTAATTTGGTAATGTTAGTTTATTCATTCGGAATTTTATCATGCGTCTTTCAACTTATTCTGTCCACTTAATTTACCTACATCGGTCACTCTTTAATCTAATAACATTTATACCTCGCTCTTGCATGCATGCATTGACTCACTCAGATACTGATACGATCATTCTTTCAATGTTAAGTTGTCTATTACCCATTAATAGTAAAACATCCAGCTTCATCTGCATATTCATCATGTACCTGCTCGTATTATATTTATACAGGCAAAATAGAAAAAAAAACAGAATATAGAATATACTTTAAGAAAAGTTAAAAAAATATCTAAGACCAGTATATGATCCAGAAATTGAATCAAAGTGAAGTCTTTCTGGACTAGACTGCAGTATGTACCAGATACCTTCCGCTACTTTGATGAGCGAGCAACTTCCTCCATAACTTCCTCTCTAAGTTGTTCCGCTGCAGTTTTCAGTCGTTTCGATAACTTACAAAGGTCTTGGGGAGCATGGTGCCACACAAGGTCTTGTAATTTTGTGCTTTTGTAAGTAAGTCAGCTGCCAAACTTAATGAAAAATACTACATGTTTGTGAAAACTCGGCGCCGCTGTAAGTCATGATGAGGTTACAACAGGCCCATATAAAAATCCTATGTTCGGGTAACGTTTCGATGTTTCTGTCCGATAATCAGTGTTTATGATTTGGTTTGATATTCAATTTCGTGGGTTAAACAGTTAAACCAAATAATTTACTGCAAATTTGAGCGTTATCCCTCGATTTGTTCATTCTGTCGCGTGCCGCTTTATCAGATGCATGATGGCCGACAAGTATCCGGTATAATGCATGCGTCTTTCTGTCTGCCTGTTTCTTCAGGCTTCGATATGTACCCCCTGCTATTTGCGGACTCACCTGAATGAAGCCCTACCCTGATCCTGAGAAGCTCATCAGGCTTGTGTGGGATGATGAAGCTACGACTCGCCTCCACAAGGTCGAGCGCCATGTTGGCAATTTCACATGCATGTTTGTCTGTCTTCTTTGGGACTCCTGACACCACCATGTCTGTGTGAGATATAGAATCGAGCAATACTGGCAATAGTCCCTCACCTTGACTTTGGAATACGTGCATTTAATTTAATCAAAACCAATCTATAGCAATTATATAGCAATAGGCAACTCTATCTATGTACACCATAAGAAAGACATGTTTGAGAAAAGAGACTTTTTTGTGTCTTAAAACATTTCATAGACTATATTTCATAGTCTATACTGACATTCCGTGAAGATCCGGATAGAATAGGTCTTCAGCAACCCATGCTTGCCGTAAAAGGCGACTATGCTTGTCGTAAGTGGCGACTAACGGGATCGGGTGGTCAGGCTCGCTGACGTGGTTGATTCATGTCATCGTATCCCAATTGCGTGGATCGATGCTCATGATGTCAATTACTGGATTGTCTGGTCCATACTCGATTATTTACAGATCGCCGTCATATAGCTGGTCAACAACCAAGTCAGCGAGCCTGACCACCCGATCCCGTTAGACGCCTCTTACGACAAGCATGGTCGCCTTTTACAGCAAGTACGGGTTGCTGAAGACCTATTCTACCCCGGAATCTTCACGGGTCTGCTGTGGTGAAGTCTTTAGACAAGGATTATCTGTCCTCAATCTCATTAAAATCAGATCTTAGTTCTCGCTAACACTAAACAAAGATCTGAGGACATCCCATTACGGGTCACGTCAGACCGACCTTGCGCGAACTTTGACCGACCAATGGAATGACCAATCAGAAGGCAGCATTCTCGTGCTTTACGGCACTATTTTCAAATTGGCGACAACGCTTCGAAACATATTTTGACAAATTCTCGATTAAAAATTTGAAACCTGAACAAAAGAACATTCTGGAATCGCTAATAGATGAACTAGATTGTATGGATTCAGTCGTTAAACCTGTAACTATCGTTCGGAATAACCCATGTTGAAGTTTTCGCGGATGTATGATCAGAAATCACATTCCGACTGGTACTTTCATGATCTGGTAAGCGACGCTCTGATTGGTCGGATGAAAGGTCGTTCTGACGTGACCTCTACTGGGATGTCCTAAGATCTTTGTTTAGCGGTAGCGAGAACTAAGGTCTGATTTAAATGAGATTGATCTGTCCTATACGAATAACATTGTCTTCTATTCCACTGAAATGAATTATTAATGTCCGTCACGGTAGACATAATGTATGATACAACTTCTTTATTTACTGTAAAGGCGACGTTTCGGTATAGATCTGTTTAGGCTTTGCTTGACAACGGTATACAGTAAATAAAGAAGATGTTGTCCATAAATTGTGTCTACTTTGTCATCCGTCATCGTCTAAGTAATGCCTATCAAACAATTCATTAATGTCCGTATTTAACGTAAGAATACACTTACATGCATCGCCAATGGTTTCCACCTTGTAGACATCGTGCATATCTATGATGCCGTCGAACGTCGTGTAGAGTTTATTTAGAAGGGCCACCACCTGTATCGGCGTGCTGCTCCCTGACAACGTTGTGAAACCAACAATGTCGCTGAAGAATATTGTACAAGCGTCAAAGCTTTCTGCTGAAATTGGTTTCCCCTGCCTCAGTACATCCGCCACTGCCCTTGGAAGCATACCTATAACATAAATTGAGTGAACAATGTTTAATGCTGCCATCATTAATTGTACAATTGTTTCACAGCAGTCTGTAAGTCATCCCATTGGACCAGCCAAACCAGTGGTTGACAGCGTAAGCAACGATCGAAGACAACTTGTAATATGTCACACATTCAGCAAGGTCACATATAACAACCATTGAAGCCGGCTCTTGTGGCAAACATCGCACATTCTTCCCCGGAAACCACACTGGATAATCATCAGGAAACCCGACCTGAGAAAAGCCATGACAAAGGACGTAGTTTCCTTTGGGAGCCTACCCATATCATGAATTAGTTCTGTTAAATTTGCCAACCAGTTAAGAATCCAACGAAAGCCCCGGTACAGACTCAGTTCCATTACTGTCATGGTTCTAATTCAGTAAAGAACAATGGTATATCTTTCAATGAACTAAAGTTCTTGTTTGAAAACATAACTCGTCACTATTGATGCATTTTTTTAATGAATATTCTTGTTAAATAAGTGGCTGTTGTTTCACATTGCAGTCAGCACTATTCCAGTTCTACCACGGGAGCCTCAGAATACTCGAGTATTGGCCAGGCAATCCAGTTTATCCAAAACTTCTGACCACTCTTAACACCCGGCTCAAGTGACAAGCAAGAAAACTGGAGGCATAATCTGTCCGGCATACCATCGTGGTGTTCTTGACCAGATACACATGAGGAAGAGAATATATGGATGTCAACTTCTTAATTATGAGGAACACAACGTTTAGGATATATAATATATGCTTACTCCTTCATCAGGTGAATGAATGCCATGAGGCAGAGAGAAGTGTTCGCTTCCATATTGCCCATTGCTTATCACCTATCAGCGCCATCCATCTGTTGGCTTCCTTTGTTAGCTTGTACCCTTTGTTATTTTCCACCTTTGGCTTTCTTATCAATTGTGTTGTTCTTACACGTACATATATATGCTCTCTGCCTCATGGCATTCATTCACCCGATGAAGGAGTAAGCATATACTCCGAAACGTTGTGTTCCTCATAATAAAGAAGTTGACATCCATACATTCTCTTCCTTATGTGTATCACTTCTAATTGCCTTTCTTTGTTAGTTGGTTTGTTGTTTAACGCCGCACTCAGCAATATTCCACCTATATGACTGCGGTCTGTAAATAATCAAGTCTGGACCAGACAATCCAGTGATTGATATCATGAGCATCGATCCATGCCATTGGGATCGATGACATGCATCAACCAAGTCAGCGAGAATGACCACCCGATCCCGTAAGTCGCTTTTTACGACAAGTATCGTCACCTTTTACAGCAAGCATGGATTGCTGAAGACCTATTCTAGCCCGGAATCTTCACGGGTCTAAATGCCTTTCAAAGACCTAGATACACATGACCATGTTCAATTTCAACATAGACTGTCTTTTGTTGCAAAGATTCTTAAAGCATATTTAATACCGAAATAGACGGTTTATAGCACTTTGTATTTTAACCATCCACGTAAACATACATTGAAGGAAGAATGTAATTGTTTGAAGCGTGTATAAAATATGCTAGGGACTTTGCCGTTAGTTTCACACCAAACCAAGTCAGAAACAGAAAAGAATCTTACTGTATAAAAGTCGGTCTGTTTTCTGTTTTTCTGCAAAAAGATCTTGTGTTCTCTCTGCTACTGTGGCTTCCAAATGTTTAGAATATTTCTCCATCTAAATTAAAATAATCATTGTAGAATACATATGGTAACTTATTAAACATCATGAACTCAATGGCACTGATTATAGATGGGGAATTAAAGTGAATTGGGGTTTAACGTCGCGTCCAAGATTATTGCGCTTATATAGCGACGTGTGTGTGTGTGTGTGTGTGTGTGTGTGTGTGTGTGTGTGTGTGTGTGTGTGTGTGTGTGTGTGTGTGACCCCACTCAGACACAGTGTACTGACTCCGAGCCGACCAGTCCATGTTTTAGTCCCTTAATACCGAGCGCGAGACAGGGTAACAACAAGTACCAGCTTTTAACGTCCTTTGGTATGACGAACCCCGGACCTTCCGTTCTCCGGGCGGACGCTCTACAACTCGACCAGGGAGGCGGTCACTGATTATAGAAATTAAGTCACTGTCATCATCGTACCCTCTTACCATATTCATCATCAGGTCGACGGCGCTTAGTTTGTTGGGGTTTATTCTATGTAGTGTCTTTTTTGCGGACTCAAAGGACGGTCGAAAGTCGGGTTTTGGGTGCCAACAATATTCAATTAACTGAAACAAAAAATGATTCAAATATACCTTGCATATCACGAACTAGTGTAATATATATCTACAGAAGTGCGGTTGGTTCTGACGTCACTCAGGATCGAATCCCTAAATTGTGTGAGAAGCCCATTTTTCCTGCATTCGCTGTGAAATTGATGGAATACAGTGTACGGAGTTGAAAGGCACCTTTCACCTTTACAAACTATGCCGGTCACCAGTGAAGTGTTGACGAAGCGACCATACACATCTTCAGCAACAGTGATAAACATTTATAAAAGCGTAAAGCAAATAAAATCTTATGAACTCTATTCCGTATTGATATTGAAGCCATCACTCACTAACGAGGCATACGCTAACGATCCTGATAACATACTGGAATATACTGATCATATAATGGAATATGGTGATCCAGTCGATAATACTGCGTGACTTAATCACATAAACGTCTCTATAATTGGAGTATCTATACTATATTACTCAGCAGATGTTTATCACGTGTACATAAAGCATCTGACTGCTTTATATTTACCTTATCAAAATAGCAAGACATACAAAAACCTCATCATCACCCTGCGGAAACGCACACACGTACTGTCGGCACCCTCTACACTTTATCCACCCCATACCTTACCTCTGTGTCATCCTGCGGAAAGGCACATACGTACACTCATCCACTCTCTATACCTTACCTCTGTGTAATCCTGCGGAAAGGCACATACGTACACTCATCCACTCTCTATACCTTACCTCTGTGTAATCCTGCGGAAAGGCACATACGTACACTCATCGACTCTCTATCCCTTACCTCTCTGTAATCCTGCGGAAAGGCACATACGTACACTCATCCACTCTCTATACCTTACCTCTGTGGAATCCTGCAGAAAGGCACATCCGTACACTCATCCACTCTCTATACCTTACCTCTGTGTAATCCTGCGGAAAGGCACATACGTACACTCATCCACTCTCTATACCTTACCTCTGTGGAATCCTGCGGAAAGGCACATACGTACACTCACCCACTCTCTATACCTTACCTCTGTGTAATCCTGCAGAAAGGCACATACGGACACTCATCCACTCTCTATACCTTACCTCTGTGTGATCCTGCGGAAAGGCACATACGGCCACTCATCCACTCTCTATACCTTATCTCTGTGTAATCCTGCAGAAAGGCACATACCTACACTCATCCACTCTCTATACCTTACCTCTGTGTAATAATACGGAAAGGCACATACGTACACTCATCCACTCTCTATACCTTACCTCTGTGTAATCCTGCGGAAAGGCACATACGTACACTCAACCACTCTCTACACCTTACCTCTGTGTAATCCTGCGGAATGCACACAAATACTGTCTATCCACCCCATACTTTACCTCTGTGTAATCCTGCAGAAAGGCACATACGTACACTCATCCGCTCTCAAAACCTTACCTCTGTGTAATAATACGGAAAGGCACATACGTACACTCAACTACTCTCTACACCTTACCTCTGTGTAATCCTGCGGAATGCACACACATACTGTAATATCCACCCCACACTTTACCTCTGTGTAATCCTGAGGGCAGGGACAAACATTGTCAGGGTCCATCTTTCCCCGTATGTCTGGAAGCGGGGGTTTCCAGTTGGTTGGTATATTGAAGGGATCAGCATCCTGAAACGAGGAACATTCAAGCTTAAAGGAAGTACATATACTTGGGTTAGTTATGGATTGGTCATGCAACTATAAATCTAGACTGAACCTAATGGCATCACATTTATGAAGATAATGGTGACAGACCTGATAGGGATCATTCCTTGTAGCTATCTCGAGAAGAATGATAGCAAAGGGATAGACGTCTGAGGAATAGGATGGTTTAGCAGTGTGCTGCTTTATTTCGGGGGCAATGTACACCGTGTCCCTCTTCTCTTGGTACTCCCGCTCATCTTGGTCTTCCTTGGTCAGATCCTCCATCCTGTAGGAAGCCAGTCCGTAGTCTGGTGGAAATAATATACGTCAGTGGCCGTGCATTGTACTATAACACTGAAAGTGTGTTTAAAGTGTTCGCTCATAACGCCGAAGTTCTGGAATCGATTCCCTACATAAGTCGTTGCGATTAAGATATCACCGATGCATTTTAATTGCAACTCACTCACTCACTCACTCACTCACTCACTCACACGAAGTGTATTTGTGACGATCTACATGTAAAATGAGTATTGTGACGTCAGGATATGGTGAATCATTCGGTGATGAAGATCTGTATAAATTTCACAGTCGCCCTGAAATAAATCTCGCAAGTGCCCATTTTAGACTGTGGCCAATTTGACTGACCATAGACCTATAACAAGGCCAAAATGAGTGACCAAAGACCTATAACAAGGCCAATATGACTGACCATGGACCTGTAACAAGGCCAATATGACTGACCATAGACCTATAACAAGCCCAATATGACTTGCCATGGACCTATAACAAGGTCAATATGACTGACCATGGACCTATAACAAGGTCAATATGACTGACCATAGACCTATAACAAGGTCAATATGACTGACCATAGACCTATAACAAGGCCAATATGACTGACCATAGACCTATAACAAGGCCACTATGACTGACCATAGACCTATAACAAGGCCAATATGACTGACCATAGACCTATAACAAGCCCAATATGACTGACCATAGACCTATAACAAGGCCAATATGACTGACCATAGACCTATAACAAGGCCAATATGACTGACCATAGACCTATAACAAGGCCAATATGACTGACCATAGACCTATAACAAGGTCAATATGACTGACCATAGACCTGTAACAAGGCCAATATGACTGACCATGGACCTATAACAAGGTCAATATGACTGACCATAGACCTATAACAAGTTCAATATGACTGATCATAGACCTATAACAAGGTCAATATGACTGACCATAGACCTATAACAAGGTCAATATGACTGACCATGGGCTAAAACAAGGCAATAAAAAAACACCCGTTTATTAACGTAAAAACATACGAGGGGCTTTCAATACGTTTTGCAACTTGGGCGTTTGTGTTTACACAAACAATGTTAACTTGTGGCAAGTGTGACACGTGTCATAACATCAGGTTGACGCGTGTCATAACAAGTTACAGACACAACAATAAGCTAGATGTGATGGCTTCATTCACCTGAGGGTGGTTGGTCACAATCATGGATTCTCTCAAACATGAACAACGCGCTGTTCCTTACCAAGGAGGGATGCAAAGCAAAATAAATCCATGGTCGCATTTGTAAAGTGATGGGTAAGGATGTTCCTGACTATTCAACAGTTTGCCGTTGGTTTCTACAGTTTAAAAGGGGTAGGGAGTCCATAGACGATGACCCAAGGCCAGGCAGGGCTTCAGATGCCACCCAACCAGAAACCATTGCTGCTATAGAAAGAAGAATTTTGTCTGACCCACGAGTGAAAGTATCTGAACTTTCTAGGGATTTCCAAATATCAGTTGGAACTGTTGGAACCATTATTCATGAGCATCTTGGTATGGCCAAGGTATCTGCGAGAGTGGTACCTAGAAACCTCAGAACTCAAGATCGCCATCAGAGACCTGCAAGTTGTCGAGACCTCCTGGATCTCTATACTGCTGATGAAGCCGGATTTCTTTCTCGTCTAGTGACAGGTGATGAAACATGGATCCAGCACTGGGACCCAGAAACTAAATTGGAATCCATGTAATGGAAGCACCCCAATTGAAGTTTCGCACTTTACCATCGGTTGGCAAGGTAATGGCCACCATATTTTGGGATACAAGGGGCATATTACTGATAGATTACATGCCACCCAAAACTACAATCAATGGACAGTATTATGCTAATGTAATGACAGAATCTAATCTATTTGCATGACAACGCTCCGGTTCACAAGTCGAGAATTGCACTTTCCGCCATATGTGAATGTGGATTCGAACAGTTAAATCACCCACCCTACAGCCCAGACTTTGCCCCCTGGACACAGGACAAATGTATTGAGGTGAATGGAGATTATATTGAAAATAAAAGTGCAAAAGATAGTCTGCGACTTTGTCTTATATTGAGGTCTTTCCGGTTCTTCGGTATTCTGACTAAACAGCTTTCGCCGTTATACACAGTTTGAAATATACGTGTAAGTATAAATGTTCTTTAACAAATATATTAGTTATGTTTGTCAGATTCCACTTGGACAGAAAGTATTGAATTTCCCTTCATGCGATAGTGTTACCTGTTTGTGATGTTGAATATTGCGTGGCTTATATCAATCAACTGGAATATGTCGCTCTTATTAATCAACTGGATTCTGTCACCCTTATTAATCAACTTCTTCTTTCACGTTATGAATCTGGACGTGGAATACAAGACTTCGAACTTCAAGTATCCTCTCAGGGATAGCATACACAACAATAAGCCTGATATTATACAACGTCACACGCTAATACTGATACCCAATGAACTGCACTGACACGCACCTGTTATTTTAACAGTCCATCGATCGTCCACCACACAATTGCCTGCCTTCAGACGCCCATGCAGGATCCGGTGACTGTGTAGGTAGCACATGCCTCGAGCAATGTCAGTAGCGAAAGAGAACCTGAAAAAATGTAATCTATCATGCAATCTATATGATAGTAATAAACGTCACATTTATATATATTTTACGTTTTTAATTTATTGTAAATGTAATTGACCACAACACGGATATATCTCAGTGTAACAGTTCAATGTACTCTTTGTGCCGTAATGTATTTGGGTGCATTATATTTTCGGCGTGTATAACTATGTTAAATAAAAAAATGTATAGCGAATTGTCAAAGGATATCTTGAAAAGACAGGCATTGAGTGTCTTTTTAAAGTTTTTTCTTTTTCTCGGATTGTCCCATAGCAATGAGTCGGTATGTTGAAATGACCTATCGCCATATGTTTTGGAACGTGACTTTGGCACCACTAGCAGGTGTTGTTAGGTAATTTTAATATTAATTTAGGTACTTAATTCCATTCTCAATATATGATGTACATGCAAAGAGGCACACTTAATATTCATCCTCATTTTCCAAAGTTTTGCAACAGTCACAAAAGAACAGTCTCCCTCATTACAAACGTTTTGCATAGTTTTTCTTATATCTTATCTTTCGACTTCAAAGACACCTCACCATATCAAGCAAGCCAGCAAGCAAAGAACTTGTATTGCGAACTTCAGGCCACATGGCCCATAGTACAGTTGAAAGATAAATGCCCTTCTCCAGGTATCGGGGGCACGTGTGGCCAAGTCGTCTGACGCGTCGCGGTTCGTTACGCAGAGTTGCGTTCCTTGGGGACGCCAGAAATCCGAATCCAGGTTCGCCCTGATTATATTTCTAGGTTTATCAGCACGTAAACGTCTGAGACCTGCCTCTTTTCGGGCTGTCCTCCCACATTAAGCTGACTAGCCGTGGTAAAACTGGAATACTGTTTAAAGCGTCAAACGCAACTCACTCACTCTAAAAGTACACATATTATTTAGGTTATTTTATTAAAGTTTTTACATTAATTATGCAGAAATCTGTTTAAGACATCTATTTGGTATTTCGTCTGACACCGTCTGTAGGTTTGGGTGATTACCCCAATGGTAATTACAGTGAATGTGTGAGTGTTTTGTTTGTTGTTTAACGCCGCACTTAGCAATATTCCTGCTGTGTGACGGCGGTCTGTAAATAATCGAATCTAGACCACACAATCCAGTGTTTGACATCACGAGCATCAATCCACGCAATTGGGATACGATAACATGCATCAGCCATGTCAGCTAGTCTGACCACCCGATCCCATTAGTCGTCTCTTACGACTCACTTAAGGATAATGGGGCAGGTACCTTCCCTTTTTCGCGAACACCTGGTATCATCACTATTTGATAGTGATTCAAAAACTCAGGGTATATTTGCAATAGTACAATGGACTCTGCTTTTACTTATGAATATGGAAAGGGTTTGTCGCTTATATTACATTAAGTAACGTCGGTTGCACTCTAGCCATTTTGTAACATGAACATTCAGTGACTTTATAACATATATAAAAGACAGTAAAAAAACCGGTAACATATCACAGACTTACATTTAAAACCTTTGGTGAAAACTAAAACTGTTGAAGTATTAAACAACGACACAATATAACATTTGGACTATAGATCGCCAGCAACAAAAGTAAGACCCCCAGACTAGTGACTATAGGGAATAACGGTACACCTGGGCCCACTTGCAGAAAGCAATCTTAGCACTACGACTATTGTAAGCCTTTGTTAAAGTATGGGAGTTACGATCATCTTTACGCTAAGATCGCTTTGTGCAAGTGGGCCCTGCTGTCATTCCGTGTGGATTCACAGCACCCCTTAATCACTGGCGATTGTTGGCAAGTGTAACCTAAAATTAACATTTACAATATGGTCATGGTGCTAAGGTATGATATACAGTAATGTACGTCTTGTAGATATCACATATCATATTTGTGGAGATGATATAACATATCATTTTTGTGGTGAAGATATAGCATAATTATACATTCGTGATGCCAACATAAGGTATTATATTTGCGATGTTGATATATCATATTCATTTTGTGGTTTTGAATAAGATATTATATTTGTAGTGCTATAAAAATAATGTTAGGACGTGGCGTGTTTGGGGTAGTAACTGCTTACAATGCACTTTTCCTACAGTGTTATCAAAACATCTTCATGGTTCAGGGCACACCATTTACTGAAGGCGGTCGGCACTGTTGGCGAAGAGATGGACTCCAACAATATTCCTGCAGCTGCAGCCCTTGGTGTCTACATTTCACAACTTTTGAGGTACAATCGAGCATGCTCTTTTTACCAAGATATGAAAAAGCTAATGTTTGTTTCCAATTTTTTATTTTTTTAAAGAGAGCATTGTGACATTCTATGCTATCCGAAATATGTTTTTTGACGGAATACCGTATTAATCTTCAACTCTGTGAACAATCATACAGTTTTAAAAAAATGATTTGAAAGTGCGTCATACACCTTTTGCTCAGAAGTTGTTTGATCATAGTTACAACATTCAAGACCTCAGTGATCATGAAGCTTTCAAAATGTTTATGATGTTTGACGCATCAGTGACAAAACTGATGTTCGATGCAAGTCCCTATTTTAACTTGTACCATGTTCCCGTGTTTTTTTTCAGGTGGACAATTGACTTGTCTATGCATGTGATTGTGACGGGGGCCACCGGTGAGTCAGGATACGCTCACCTGTTTGCGAACACCTGCTATCATCACTATGTGACAGTGATTCATAAACACATGCTCATGATATAGTCGGAATCGTACAATCGACTCTGATTTTGGCAGAGATTTCCTACGAATATGGAAATGATTTTGTCGCTTTTATTTACAAACACATACTGTATTATGCAAGTTGTGAGTGGCGAGCGCTACCGGGAGAGCAGGATGTGCTTATCCTTTTCGCGAACACCTAGTGTCATCACTGATTCTCAGTGATCCATTCATGTAGTTTTCACGCTATGTTTCTTCGGATAATCGTAAATTCTATGACTTATTCATCTTGCGTTGACGTTTAATATTTTTTTGTAATTACAGGTATGGTAATACCAATGATTCGAAAATCCAGAAATGTATGACGCAATTAAATAAATTAAATATAATGGGTGTCATGAATGGTTTCTTCTTCGCTTGCGGGTCATCATACCCATATAATCTGATAACAATCACTGGTCATGCTAGATCATTTACTAAAGGCCGTTACATTGCTAGAATACCACGGTGTCATTCAACAAACAAACATTTATTGCCATTTTGCATCCCTGCTTTTATTCTTTCATAAACTCTGCGCAACGATCACTCTGTGACTTAAACAGCATAGAAAACAATCCTAATTGACATCCCTTGACTCCAGATAGGTCTGCCCACGAAGTAAGCGATCGATATCACAGTCATCCACGAATCAACAACTGCAGGTCATTGATTAAGTTTAATCTGCAAGTTGTTCAATAATTTGACACTGACATGACTTGTTGCGAGCTAGTGTTTCTTGTATTGACAGTGTAATGAACCATCTGACAAATTATTGTCGTTTAAATTACCGTAAAGAATTTTTATAGATCCCAAACTACTCTTGTTTGTCAGTTTCAGTAAAACTGAACCAATTTGGCAAATATACTAAATACAACCGTAAATGTGATGGCGCCAATTACACCTTGAAGCAAGCTCTTTGCTTTTTATCTTATGTCTATATCCTTTCCTATTTTTTAAATTACCGTCTTGGGAAATATAATATATAGTCTTGATAATGTCTCCGTCTTTCCTAATTTTCGATGCTATTGTTTCTTTGTAACAGAGGCCTTATAAGGACTTGGATGCAGATGTACCAGATCTTAAATAATACACCTCGACATGGCAGAGTATAGTTCGAAGTTGTATCTTTTAACACTATATTATGTTGTTGTTTACATATACACACAGACAGACAGACACAGTCACTTCATTTTTCAATATATACATATATAAAATAGAATTCACAGGATAAAAAATGACCCTATCCATAAGAGACAGTGGTCTAAGAATATACTGCGATAACAAATCAGATCGTATACAGGAGACAGAAAGAAAATGAATATCAATGCAACGAAGAAAAACTCTAGCTTTGATGCAGGAATTGTTGTCGTTTATCGGAAATAAGTTTGCAGGATTTGGGACATATATTTACAAGTAGAGGGCTTGATAAATAAAACCAGTTTTAACCAAATCATCTGTCTGGTTGATATTAGGTCATACATCATTGCATTTCCGCAGCAACACGTGTCGTACATCACCATGTAATGGACAGCACAATAAAACATGATGCTCGTCCTCTACACAGTAAACAAAGCTGAAACACACTCTATCATTAACAGGAAGCTTAAGATAACGCCCAGTTTCATTGTGAATAGGAGCCACCCATGCCACGGCTCTCCCATGGGGTGTTCATATTGCAGTACGAATAAACGTTTCCACATTATCTTCAGATTTGAAGGTGCTATACAGGTGCATCTTGTTTCCACCGTTGCCCCTATTGCTAAGAACCCGTTTTACTGCTGTGAAATAGTCGTGTGGATATTTCGTGAAGGTATTATCTCCTAATATGGATAATATATATGTTTTACACTTATATTATTGTCAGGTGCAATAAAATGTTTAACCAAAAGACTTCTGTAGTTTGTATGGGTTCTGAAGTTCCACTTTCTTCTGTAATCCCCTGCTTCCCGATTAGCCCAGCTGAAAAAACCTTCCATGTCACTTTCTATTGACGTAATGTTAGCAGGAGCTATCGTATGTCACCGCTAACTGCGCTATTTGGTGTATATTTTCTCAGTCCCATGCAAAACCTCATTGCTCGGTTTTGAACTGCGTTTGTTGCGGATTTGGTATATTTACCCCCATGTCACCGATCCGTATTGTCTTGTCGACCATACCATAGAATCATAGAGCTTCGTATAAGTATTGTACTGCATACCACCAAGTTGTTTGAATTTGGAGATCAGCAGACTAATGGATGATCTTGGACCCTAGTGTTCAAACTGTCCAGCAGCAAGTTCATGTTAT